AATAGATGAGCAAATGGAGTATTTTAGCATATGTTTGCGTTCCTATACCTCGTATGCCATTGTGCAGAGTGGTCACTTTGTTACTTGTGGTCAATCAACTTATCTTTCGACGACGATTCCTACTATTTATTCCTATTGGCTAAAAATTCGCTGTGTTATGTTATATGCATAGTGTAACATGCGTTCCTAGTTACGCAGTCACACTTCGCGCATGAAATCAGCGTTACATTATAGGAAATAGGTGCACTACTAGTAGTAGTTCTATCCTCATTTTTGACAAATGTAAGGTAATTTGCAGGAAGGCCTTCACGAAATGTTCAGCGGCGGCATGTAAAGTAAATACCAATTCTCTATTTTTCACACTGTATAATAGAGTTCAATCATTTTTTTTATACGACACAGGTTCGAGGAGCTCTCAAGAGTCTATCAATGATTCAAATGTACGTGGTTTTTTTTTAAGCATTATTTGATTGAATACTTGAAAATATTACCAATACTAACATCCTATCTTGTCCATGCAGTCATACTCGCATACTTTAGCGCATGTCCATCAGAGTTACCATAGATGACGATACTCGTTTACTTTGTGCATCACCAAGCACGTCTTCGGAGAGACAAATGTTTCTCGATCCTCATGACGTATCAATGTCTGTACAGTGTCAGTCGAACCACTTGAGTACGAGAGAGGTAGTTATACCTTAACCTGGAATTCGAGTCAAGTATTGGGATGTTTGGTTGATGGGGCATTAACGTGATTATGTTTGGGGATGATGACTGTACGTTAGATTGCCAAACGTAGTTTTACATTCTGGGTGGTTTGTCGGTAAGTTAAAACTAAAAGAGTAATTCTATTTCATTTGCGCAAATATTTCTAAGCCAAGAATTCTTACTCTACCAGAGTAGCAATGCATCATTAGCATATACAACAGTCGCAAGCAGTATCACAAGCAGGACGATATTGGCATCAATGTCAGGTAGAATTGCAAGTTGTATTTCGGGGGTAAAGTCGACCAGGGCTGACGAGTCAGGAAGGTTGCGATGTATTAATACTTATCAACTACGGATATCGTTTTTTTTTCAACAGGCTTTTTTACATTCTGTATCGGGTCACTCGTCGGCATTGAGATATTTACGATTTCCAAACTGGCTGCTGTTTCAACGAGGTATACGGAAGACGTAATCACAAGGGACATCAGTCTCTATATTTACTTTCTCTTTTGGTTTGTTGTTTGTTACTCTCGTCATTTTACATTATCCACTTTAATATTTTTACTGTTATAGCTTAATCGGGATTATTCTAATCCCGTCGGCAGACAGATCAGATGACGACGACAACAACGACAACTCGTTCGAGCAGGCCGCGCGGCCGCGTTCCAAAGTACTTGGTGATTTCTTGGCGCTTTCTTCTATAGGATGTTATGCTGTTTTATTAAAATTGCGCATAAAAAGGCGAAACTCGAGTAAATATGACCCTATTTCTTGGCGTTGTTGGGTTTTCAACATCTTTATTCTCCGCCATTATTTTTATTGCTTGATGCGGTCAATGCGTTGCTTGGGACATTTGTTTCGGATTATTTTTGGTTATTGCCAATGTTGATGACATCACCTTTATTAGCAACTTAGGATTATTGCTGACAATACCGTTGGGCAATTTTTGGGGAGTCAAATTCATTTCTTTATCAAATCCAACAATTTCTACTAAATTAGAAACAGGGTGAGGTTCTTGAGCTTCTCATGGCAGACAAAATGCACCTACCTGTTTGTCATTATGTTTCATCGAGTATTCCCCTCGGCTTTTGCACGTTAATATTGTTCAGGGCGACAATTCTCTTCAAGACGGATGATTGTCTTACATGGATCCAAGTCATGAAGTAAAGTACGAATGAACAAGACTTTGGCTGCTGATCCGAGCATATAGGTAGATGAAACTTTCAAGGTGTCTGTTTAAAGTAGTACTAATCGCAACCTTTACGATCTATCCGAGATCAACGTATTCCCAGCCGATGAGATTAGAGACAATGGACCGTTGAGGATGAATTGTCTTTTTAGAACGGCTTGGTATATACCCTGGAAGAATCATTTATATAGCTGTGGAGCGGATTGTATCATCAGTACTTCTTCAAGCTCTTCTTAGGGGGACTCCATTTCCGGCTTCACACACCAAAGACATTCCCTGAACTCTGTGCTAAAGATCCGGCAGCGTAATCATCAAACCAGTCCATTCTAACGATCTCATCGGTGGATATGACCCATAGGTTGGCGCGACGCTGGTAGATATCAGAATACGATGGACAGCTTCCTATGCAAACTGCCTAATGTTGAAATTGACAACTGTCTCGTGTGAGAAACGAACATGCGGTCGGTTGGCATAACGACTGCGGGCTTGATTTTGGAATGAACGATGTTTGCGTGCGTGGATGGACAAATCGAGTTTTTATTGCCGACCCGAACGTAGAGTTGTTTAGTGTTGAAGAGCATGAAATATTTCAGGTGAAGAGGAAAAGTACGCAATGTATGACCGGGGTGAGTCGTGAGTCGAATCGGGTAATAGGTGGCTTCATCTTTAAGTTTAACGCCTATTGTTACTTGCATCGTTTTACATCCATTCGTTACTATTATATTTATATTCTTGGTTTTGGGTTGGGTTAATATAGTTATTTATCACTATAAAGTATATAGTATTAATAGTACAGACATTTTGAAAAGGCAAACTATAATTGTTGGAGCGCCATTCCATAACAACTATGCTATGAAGAAAGATGATGAAAACTTTTCATTTTGTTGTCGAGATGGAGCGAAGAACTGGGAAAAGGTTTCTGTACCAATTTTGTGGGCGATCTTTGAAGTTTGCGGGATTACACGGGAGGCTTGCGATAAACTAATGATGGCAAATATGTAGAATGCTGATAATTCTTATTATAATTAGTAGTAGTTATGTAAAGCTGTGATGGAGTGAAATAATTACTTTATCGCCAAAATCGGTAAATCGTATTCCCAGAACAACTCGTATCCTTGATGAACGAAGTTTGACTGACTTTATCATTGTACTTGTGCGTCGGAAGTGAATATATTCTAGCAAATTCACTCACAAAAGTTGGTGTGCATTCTTCATTACTTCCAAGTGATAACAACATTATCGTCGTTTCATCAACTCTATCACCATCATCATACGTTTGCTTGCGAATAACGTAATGGATGTCAGTTTGACTTGACTCTATGTTGGTAATTTGCGAGTAAGGAATCCATTCAATAGTTTTATTACTAGTTGTGATCAGGTCGTCAATTACTGGATGTTGAATGTCCATAATTAATGACATAAAGACTTTTTCACGGAAAGAGATTATTTCTCAATAATTGTTGTGTTATTTTGCACAGTCGCTGTTTCGCGTTTCAGCATTCACCAATTATATCTGCTCATGCGGGTGTAGATCTTCTTTTTATATCTAGCGATGCTAATTGGGTGTACGTGTATTTTGTAGAAGTTGATTTATAAAACTGATTGTATTCATATAACTAGAGTAATAAATACTTAAGAGGCTTCGCCTCTTCGTTTTCACGATTATATATCAATGATGGTAATGATATGGATGTAGTGGTTTTTTGTAAAGGTGAAGGTGTGTAAGTAAATAGTCGATTGTAAACATTAGTAATATATATCAGTAGTAAATTTTTGTTGGTGTTTGGTTTTGTTAGTGTGGTGTTGTGGAATCATTCATTTTCGGAATCATTTAGTATTTTCTTATTACGATATGACATAGTTTATACCTACAGTGCGCGAAAAAAGTTTTTGGAATGAAATGCGTGTCAAGTAAACACGATTTCCTTCCGAAATACGCGTCTAAT